ACCCGTAGGAAAGACTGTCCTCAATAAATCAACAAACAGCAAGTGCTGGTGAGGCTGTGGAGAATGGGGACCCTTTCGCACTGCCGGGGGATGCAGACTGGTGCGGCCACTGCGGAAAGCAGTATGGTGATGCTTCAAAAGATTAAAAATGGATCTGCCTCTTGACCCAGTGATCCCACTTCTGAGAATATATCCAAAGGAACCCAAAACACTAAGTTGAAAGAACATAAACATCCGTATGTTCATTGCAGTGTTATTTACAATCGCCAAGATATGGAAGCAGCCCAAGTGCCCGTCAGTAGATGAGAAGATAAAACAACTATGGGACATTTACACAATGGAACACTACTTGGCCGTAAAAAAAAAGAAGAAAATTTTACCTTTTGCAACAGTATGGATGGACCTGGAGAACATTACGCTAAGTAAAATGAGCCAGTCAGAGAAAGACAAATACCGTATAACTTCACTCATATATAGACTCTATTGAACAAACTGAATTAACCGGCAAATAGAGACAGACTCGGAGAGCAGGACGGGAGTGGGGGGCTGGTTAGGGAGTGGAGGGATTGCGCAAAAAAGGAGAAAGGACTCATGGACAGCAGTGCAGTGATCGTGGGTTTGTGGGGACGGATATAAGGAGACAAAGTGGTAACAAAAATAAAATAACTAAAAAAGGAATAGTATATTGTGGAGGCCCCTACCCTGCTGAGGAGAAAATCTACTATCTGTGCCTGGGCAGCAGAGGGGAGTCCGGAAAAAGTTCAGAGGAGAAGGCATTTTGAGCTGGATATGAAAGTTCAGTGAGGGTTCGCCAGGCAAAGAGCAGAGGGGAGGAAGGAGGGGAGAGGCAGCTCAGGCCGCCCTCGCGGAGCAGCACGGACTGGGTGGCTTAAACGAAAGACAGTTCCATCGCACAGCTCTGGGGCCTGGCCGTCCGAGCCCAAGGTGACGGCGGATGGATTCAGTCCCTGGTGAGGGCTCCCCCCTTGGTGGGCAGTAGTCTTCACCTGACGGAGAGGAAGCTCCGATGTCTCATCCTCTCCTGCCACTGATCCCAACGTGAGGGCTCTGCCCTCATGCCCTCATCTAACCCTAATCACCCCCAATACCACCACATTGGGGGGTAGGGCTTTGCTGTATGGATTTGGGGGTGCACAGACATTCAGTTCCTAACAGGGCGTCAGGTTGCAGGGCAGCAAGCACAGAGGCGCGAGGCCGTGGACGGCGTAGTGCGTTCAGAGAGCACCAGCCAGCTCCGTGCGCCCCGAGTGAGGGCAGGGTGCAGGGGCGCTGGCGTGGAGACAGAGGCTGGGAGGGCGCTCTGGCCGACGCCAGGCAGAGGCGGAGTGGGGGCGCCACGGCAAAGAGCCCCAGGCTGAATCCAGGTTGCCCTTGCACAGCTGCATGATGGTGTGCCCTGGAGAAGGTCCCGGGCGCACTTCAGAAAAAGACCCGAGTGCTTTTAGGTGGAATGTTCTCTACGTGTCTAGGAAGTTCGGATTGTTGAATGCGTCCTTTAAGCCTGATGTTTCCTTACTGGTTTTCTGTCTGCCCCTCCCCCAACCCCGCCCCAAGTTGTTTCTTAGGTTCTCAGGCAACCAGCACCTGAGACTGAACTTTTAGTCGCGGGCTTGAATGAATACCCCTCAAGACATGACTTTCAAGCTGTTCTGGAGGCATAAGTGGTTCTGCAAAAGTCAATGCAAAATTTCACTTTAAAAAAACCCTGTGAATAAATATATCCAAATGTATTATAGTCCATATGTTAATACACCGGTAACTTCAGTTGTCATATTAACTTCCTCTTGGCTTAGGCACACCCCAGAACTTTCTTTCATTCCTATGCACACAGGCAGGATTCGAACTTGTGTCATTTTTGATGAGGAAAATTGTATCTCTGTGGTCTTTTTAAAAGTGGAGGCCTATTTATGTCCCTGTGAGCAACATGCAACAAGCAGGTACAATATCCTTCATCGTGTGAAGCAGAATGTTTTAAAACCTGGATCCTGAGGCTGACGGGGTGGGTGGGGACCCTGGGTTCTGAAGGTGGGCACGTTTGGGTTTGAATAGCATCCTGTGCGGCCTTGAGCACGTCCATTCACCTCTCCGGGCCTCAGTTTTCTCATCTGTAAAATGGTGATAACATCATAAAAGACATCCATACCATACAAGTCCTTCGGTTCTGCCGCCGGGGACAGAGAGAAGGAAGATGGCTCTTTCTTCCTCTCCCTGGAGACTGCTCCACCCCGAGAAGTCTTATTCATGTCTCATGATGAGACACACACAGTCACGGTATTTGACCTGACATTGAACGTTTCTTGGGGACACCTCGTGAAACAGAGGCCCCGTCAGGAGAGCACCTGGCCCAAGCCTCACCTGTCCTTGACCCTGCTCCCTGTAAGGCACCTCCTCACCAGCACCTGTGAGGACAAGGCCGTCACCACCTGGGGGTCATCGTGTCCTGATACAAATGCCACCATCTCCCTGAGTCGGGGAGGACTGCCTGGTGGACGACTTTTATGCAGAGTGATGTTAAAAGTGTGAATGTATCTTGAGAAAAATGTCGCTCTCAAACTGTTTTTATCCAGGGGTCCCCTGTTGGGAGTTCACTAGAAACACCGCATTCTGTCACGAAACACCAGCTGACAGCCACCGTCGTGGGGCTTTCCTGGTTTGCTCCCTGGGGTCTGCACAGAGCAAGTCTCTGTTGCTGCTTTTTATTTTGCTGCTGAGCCATGAAGGCGCCTTCTCTCTCTCTTTAGTATTCATTTCATTAACCTCTGTGTTTCCTCTCAAGCTCGGAAGCCAGCAGAATGTTCTCGGGATGTTCACCTGGTGGCACCCGGGGCACGGAGACGCTGGCCTGGTTCATTCCTCTCATCGCAGCAGACTTGACTGTCTCTTCTCTGGTGCAAAGGCTTTCGTGGGCGGCACCTGCTGATTTTACAACGATCGCTGACAGCTGTTTCGGATGCAGAGAGACATAACTCTCCTGAAGGCACAGCGTCCTTTAGCACAGTCAGCTTGTCACAGGTACACACTGTGGGTTTAACTAAAACAGCACTTTAGGTTCTAGATATTTGCTCTTAAAATGAATACAACTGTAATAACTGCTTTGGGAGGATATAATAATATTTTAGTGATAGTTATAAAATACATGAAGAAATGCCTAAAGTCTAGACCTATATGCTCCAGGCCCCATGTGGAAAAAAAAAAAGCTTTGTATAATAATGGTTAAGTTCTCAAAAAAAATTTAATACAGCATTTTCACAGCCTCCATGATCTTCTGTATGTCGTGGCAATTGGTATTAATTATAAAATTTCATATAAGAAAAAAACTATAGGAAATAAGCCTATAGGAAAAAAAAGAACTTTCTTCAAAACTCCGCAAATTTTAAAAAAAAGTGGAACTCTAATGGAAGCTCCACTTCGTTGGCCCTGTGCTCTGCGATAGCCCAAGTGCCTAAAACAGGGACAGCGCACAGTAGGTGCTCAGTAAGTATATACATGGTGAATGGCTATTTTAACAATAAAATCTGACCCGAAATTTAAGAAATTGGAAGTGCCTCTGACAGGCAATGCATGAAATAGAAACTAAAAAGCTAGATAAAATGTGACATTTTAAACAGACTCTGAAACAGAATGAATAAACCTAATATTTCTTTTCAGTTTACGACTGGTTATTAGGGGTTTAAAACATAGGCAAAGGCTCCAGTTGAGAAGCGCTAAGTAGTTGGCTAAATTTTAACGTATAAAGTTGTACAGTATACCTACAGTGTAGCAGCCTACAGACTACAGCCGTCTCATCCCTGCTTGCATCCTTGGTGTCTATTATTAACCAATGTTCTTTTAGTTGAAGGAACAGAAAGCAAACTCTGCCTAACTTGGGCAGAAAAGGGGGGCGGAGACTTATTGGAAGGGTTCTGGGGGGGCTGATGGGCTTGAAGAACCACCGGTTCAGGAGACCTAGAAGGAACGTCTCGGCCACCAGGACCCTCTCTTTCTTAGCGTCTGCTTCCCTCTCACACTCTCCCGTGAGGCTATGATGGAGGCTGCCAGCATCAGCTAACCCCTTCTGTCTTCCTTTCCTGAGAGGAAGCTTGTTTTCATAGATCTGATTAGGAAGATTCCAGGGAAGGCTGCCAATCGGTTCAGCCTGGGTGAGCTTCCTATCTCAGGGACCGATCTCTGTGGCCAGGGGGACAGGGGGGCACGTAGCAGGACCTGGCAGCTCCCCTCCAGAGCGTGTGAGCAGTGCGGAAGCAGGGCAGTTCCCCCAGAGGAGCGGTGGGCATTCCCTGGTGAGAGCAAACGTCCTTCCCAACGAAAATCAAGGCTCCCGCTGGACGCCTGCGGAGACGGACCGCCTTCTGTGGGTTGGCCTTAGTAGGCTTGACGCTTCCAGACTCTGGGGTTACAACAGTCTCTTGCTTTAGGGTTCTTGTCCGGAGACTGGTTAACTGAATTATTCAGATCTGTGTTATTAAAATGAGATAACAGCATGCCCTCCCCGGGAAGCTCAGGTGGTTGGAGTATCAGCCCATACACCAGAAGGTTGTGGGTTTGATCCCCGGTCAGGGCACATGCTTGGGTTGTGGGCTCAGTCCCTGGTCAGGGCACGTGTGGGGGCGGTAGATCAATGTTTCTCTCTCACATCAAAGTTTCTCTCTCTCTTCCCCTTCCTCTCTCTCTAAAATCAATGGGCACATCCCTGGGTGAGGATTTAAAAAAAAATAAAATGAGATAACAGTTTTATCTGAATTAAAAAGGCAAACACAACATTAGTATCTTTAAGAGATCAAAACACTCGCATCACAACTTTAAGGTCGGACTAGCCTGAGGCACTGATGAACAAGAATCTCTTTCACGTGACCAGGTGAGCACCACAGCCAGACGCCTTACCTGGTGAGGAACTAGACTGGCTTCTAGACTAACACGTTTTATGTTAAAGACAAATGTTTCAACAAATGAGTGCGGCCCACAGACCAGTGTGTGATATTTGGCTTTATTTTATAAAAATACACAACTTAAATACATATGGCACTCTCTATACAAGACATAAACTGTTCGATTTAACATTTTCAGTAATTTCAACAGAAAGCAAATAGGTAAATTTTCCTTGTAAGAGCTTAGAGCTTTCTTTAGGGACTCTGCACGCACAGTCGTAGGGACAGATGCCCCTTCAAGCAGCAAGTGCAGGAAACGGACCCACCCCGAGCGGCTGTCCGGCAGGGCACCTCACCACAGGGCCTTCACTGCACAGCGCCACGTCGCGCTGCCCGGTGGGCGCCGTCTCCTGCATCGCCCCGCAGGTTTAGACTCTGTCTCCTCTGGAGATGTTAAAGGGGGAAACCAACACACAAATAGTATTACCTATGCCTTGCAGTTGTGCCAAATGGCCATCACAAGAAGGGCGACCCTCTTCGCACTTTGCAAAACTTGCACCAGAAGGTGGTTAGCTATCTTTTGCAGCTAAATTCCTTTTCAAAAGTTTTACCGAATTGCTGGCAGGTTGGGTGAGCTGGAGGGAGTGCGGCGAGGTGACATTCCAGGGCCTACTGCAAGCGCCTGTCACAAGGGCGCCGTCCCTGTCAGACACAAAGTGGGTGCAGCCCCGCCCACGCCCACGTGAACCTGCCACGCGTGCCTCCCCCCGAGACTGTGTTCTGCGAGCAGCAGCACCCTCATCGCTAGGGCCACATCCTCACCGCGACTCTTTCAGAAATTCAGCTGCCTGATTGATGGCTCATCGAACTAACAGTGAATCAGGCTCTGGTTTACGGGTGTAAAGAGATGTTTACCAGTTGAGAATGGGATGCTGAGAACACACTCGAGTAAGCTCCCTGAAGGTGCGAGCTACCCAACCAGGGCATTTTTGTGTCGGGGGCGGTGCAATCCCGGAGGCGGGACTTCCGGTCAGCAGACCACCCAGGCCCAGGGGCGTGCACGCGGGGGAGCCGGGTGACGAGGCTGGAGGAGGAGAAGAGCTGACAGCTGAGAACCTCCGCCCGGAAGGAGGCAGGAAAGGGGAACAAGGGAACAAAAGCCGGGTGTTATTTTAAAGCGCTTGGGTAGGTTGGAGGACTGATTTGAAAGCCTCTGGGGATCTCTAACAAGTTTTAAAAGTGTTAATTCTCGGTGACTCAGCTGTGGAAGAAATGGCTTTTCTTTAATAATAGCTGCTCAAACTTTGTATTCTTTTTGAAAAACAAGTTTTTCTCCATAAAAATTTTTTTTAACCATTGAAATTATTCTGCTAGTTGTTACTGTCACTGATGTATTCTGAAATCCGAACTGGCTGAATAATTTTCAGGTTGAACTACAAAGGACACATTTGCACCAAGAAGTTACATTGATGTGCACAGGTCTGTGGAGTCGGTGCGATACCAAACAACTTTTCACTGCAGACCGAGCTTCTTATCATTTGATATTCTTCTGAAGAATTACCAAATCAGAAAAATTCTAGGGCCTTGAAGCTTAAGTTTCTTCTTTTCTTCCTTTTACATAAAGTAGTACCTGGCCATCCTTAACATTCACCAAGAGGGTGCTGGGAACTGACTCCCAAGACCTAAGAGTCGAGACCAGGCCGAATCTCAACAGCTCACTGGTTACATAAGGATGCGAATGGGGGCCTCAGGGACCCTCCGCTACACGTGCCCACCTGCGCACTGCAGCTGAAGGAGGGGCCGGTCCCGCGCTTAGCAACAGTGTTAACAACGGGCACCAGCTTCTTACACACAGGGCCTCGCACTCAGTGAGCCGCTCTGTCAGCCTGGGCTGGCACTGCCGTGGTGCACAGTCCCTCACTCAGGCGACTCCTAAATTCTGTTGTGAGAACAGATCGATGTTTAATTATCCTAGGCGTGATGAAGGCCTTAAGCAACACTTAGGTCCAGAAGAACTTTGGGTTGGAGTTCTGCAGTTCCGAGGCTGGTTAAAATTACAAGGCCAGAGGACGATCCTCTAAGAAACCATATCTCAGATCTCCATCCATAAAGAAGAGCATTCCCAGCATCGCCAAGAAGAAACGTCATCCTAGAAAACAGCTGACAGTTTTCTAGGCTTGCTGACCACAGGCCCCACGCGGCCCAAGTGCAGCCACCCCGAGGAAGCCGCCGGCGGAGGGGAAGCGCCCAGAAGGCTGCCCCGGGCTTGAGGTCAGTGGAAGTGGCTTTGCTCCCGAGGTGCTAAGGTGCGCTACCTGGCGATCAACATGGATAGCTATTTAAAATCCAGAGACAGCACTGTGTTGCGTACTTGAGAGCCCCAGCTGGTGCAGACTGGTCACAGCTGAAAATACGGACCTCACAACGAGGGTGAGGAGGTCACGAGCCACACAGTGGGAGCGGTCGTGTGGGCCCCCAAAAACGGCCAGTCCTAACACTTGATCTTCATTCATCTCCTGGAGATGAAGGAGGAGACTATGGCAAGAAAACATTTTTCTCTCTGGGAAATGAATTTTCATAACCTGTAGTTTAAAAGTGTTACTATTCAGAGATTTGGAACCCAAACAAGATCACAGAGATTCCTCCCCCTGCCAGCTTCCAGACCCCTCGCTCCCGCACTGCCTGAAGGACCCATCCTGGTCCCTGGTCAGCCAGGCCCAGCTCAAGGCTTGTGAGGGGGGATGGAGGAGACAGTGGCTGCAAGCCGGGGACCCAAGAACAGAGAAATGGTGGCAGACGTGGTGTGTAAATCAACGAGGGGAGGAGGAGAGGGAACTGACACCGGTGAAGAAGCAGAGCGGAGGCCGGCATGTTGCAGGGCACCTCACCCTCCCCACCTGTCCCTGGCAAATGAGGCAGAAACGAGACAAGACGTAAGCCTCACACGGGCGCTCTCCCGTGGCATCCACACGCCCGAGTCAGCTGCTGTGCGTGATGAGATGAATGCACACTCTAGCGTGGCCTGCACGCACCCGTCCTGGCCTCATTCCTGATCCCTAGGTGATGGTGCTCCCTACAGCAGCTGGCACCCACCTGCCCAGCCAGACAGGGCCCTCCCGCCCAGGGGCACGGTAGCAGCGCAGTGTACCCAGAAGCGTGGCTGCGGTGGCTTTATCCACTTAGGACTGGCCTGTCTCTCCCCCTGGTGGCTGGAGAAGGGAACGGACTAAATGTCATAAACTGGCTGCTTCAATGTGTGGCTTTGTTTCACAAACTTCCAAAGGGCTGCTGCTAAGAGGCCATTACTTTTTGATTGATGGTTAAAAGAGCACCTAAGGAACTCGTTCTGAAAGGGGCGGCTTGCTTGTGAGGTCACCCCAAACTCTCAGGGGTTTTGATATAGTCTGCTTCTGTTTTTCTTCTCCCATGTTGAAGGAGGAAGGCAGGCGGGAAAGAAGGACGGGAGGGAGGAAAAGAAGGCGAAAGGGCCCTCCTGTCCTCCCTCCAGACGCCTCAGGGACTTTCCCGAGGGCGGGGCCACGGGAGCACTCGACTTCCAGGTGGAAAACCAACGGAACCCGGGTGTGCCAGTGGCGCTCGGTTCCCTCCGCGGGAACCGGCAGCAGGCCCTGGACCGCGGACTTACGTAGGAATGACGACAGACGGCGGGGGGGAAAGCTCGGCGAGGTTCTGCGGGGGAAACACCCACGCTGGCCGTTTCGCCTCCAGGGAGAGTCTGCCTGCACGCGCGCCCTACACCCGATACCCGACACCCGTCGTTTGCTCTCCTTCCTACTTGATGTTCTTCAGCAGGGCAGTCCGGGCGTTCACCACCGCTTTGAAGGCATCTTCACTGCCGGGCGCGACGCACTTGTCCGGGTGCAGCAGCACGGCGAGCTTCCGGTACACTTTATTGACCTCGTCCCTGCGAAAAGAAGCGGAGCTCGGCGTCAGCGGCTGGGCGCCCCGCGCACCGCGTTTAGTGACTGGATCGTGTAGCAGCCCTCGCAGTCAGCACCGCCCTCCCCTATCCAGTCACCACCTTTCCAAAGGTGGGGCTAGGAAACAACAAATAAGTAACATACAGGGTCGGCAGAAGTAAGGCCTGCTTGCCTGTGTTGGGAGGGTAATAATACGGGTGTAATCATTTATAGTTTTAATTTGAACATGTCACCTAAAATGTCATATGGTGTGCCTGAGTGTGATATTGGTATGTTACAGAATTACATGCTTACAATTTTGTAATAAAAAGGGGACATTATTTGTGTCGGATCCTGTATAACATACAAGTAGAAAAAAATACAACGTAAAATATGTGTACAAATGTGAAGAAAACACTGGCAAAACAAAGATCGGATGAAAACAGGCAGCACCAGGCACCTTGCAGGCACGCAGCGAGGCCCTGCTGACTGCCGGGAGCAATGAGGACCCCGGGGACCAGGGCAGGCCCTGCCGCCCCCCAACCAGAACTCTGAACGGAGGGGCTTGGGCATGAGGTGGGGGGGGTGGGTATACAGAGCAATGCGAGAGGCTAGGAACAGAGCGTGGGCACGGGGTGGAAAGTAGGAGAAACCAAGTGGGCTGGGGCAGGGGTCAGGGGTCAGAAGGTGACAGGCCATGAAGGCAAATCAACAGAAAAGCTAGATTTGATCAACACTGACAACAGTAGGCGTTCCCTGACCAAACGGTGCTGGGAAGGCCATTTCTTTAAGTTAGAAGACAGGTAGGAGGTTGCTGCCATAACCCAGGCACGAGTGTCAGAGTTTAGGTTACAGAGTCTGTGGAAGGGAAGATCGGAGCGGTAACGTGAAGAAGGAACTGGCGGAAGCAGGTGATGAGCTGGACGTACAGGTGGATAAGATGTAAGGAGAGGGGCTGGAATGAGTTCCCGGGTCACAGGGAGTCTGAGGCCTGGGCAAGATGGCGACACCGATGACCCCAGAAAGGGCATGGAAAGGGGCACCTGAGATCCAAGAAGAAACAAGAGAAAGTACTATTCTCGAGGGAGGAAAGGAGCAGCAACAATGAGTATTTCTCCAAAGACCAGCAGAGCTCCAGGGGAGACCCGTGGGCCTCTGAGCTCCATGGTGAGCAGGAACCGCTGGGGGAGGGGCTGAGGCCACCCTCCCCGGAACTTCCCTGCTCTTCATCCTCGGGGTCAGGCCTCTGGGAGGCCTCTACACACCCGGCCACCACCCCACCCGGGTCAGAGTCTGGCTCTGTCTCCATCAGAGGGTTTTCTTTTCCACCTTCCGTTCGTGATTTGGGGTTCCTGCTGTCCTACAAGCTGGATGCTTCCCCGAATGCCCTGGCTTTTCTCCTTTATTTCGTATCAGAAGGATGTCTAGTTTGGCTCTGCAAACGAGGGAGACGGTCTTTGACATTTTGTACAAGACGGAAAGTCCGTGTGTCAACTTGGAGAGACAGAGGTCCCAGGACCACGGTAACAGCTCCCCACGCCTCGAGCGCACATTCAAAGGCTTTCTCTGTCGTCGGCTCTTAGGGGAGTCCTGAATTTTCTTGTTTTACTCTTGCACATAGTTTTCTACATAGATAATTCTGACACTGGCTAACAAGAATCACATGCCCCCTAAAAGCCTCTCCATCTCGAGGCTGGAACAGCTGCCTCCCGCTTCCCCACGAGCTGCCTCCCGAGGGAACAAGTCCGCCGGGCATTCCTGCGACAGCCAGGCTGGCCCTCCGCACTGGGAGTGCTTTTTAAACGTTCTGGGTAGCAGGGGAGACTTGCAAGGAAAATTCTGGAGAAACAAGACTCAGTCAAGGGTATAAGAAATATATCAATTCTACTGAAGATGAGGATTTTCCTCAAGTTCAAGAATAGTAAACAGCACTGAACAAACATTAAAACTCTCTGTAACATAAAAAAATGTTTTTAGGTTTTTCCTAGAAGTATTCAATGCCAAACAAAATTAGTCTGATGGACCCGAAGGACAAAGGTAAGAACGGTACATGCCACCCTGGCTGGTGTGGCTCAGCGGGTTGGGTGTCGTCCCACAAACCAAACGGTCACGGTTCAATTCCGGGCCGGGGCACACGCCTGGGTTGTGTATTTGGTCCCTGGTCAGGGCGCGTGCACAAGGCAACTGATTGATGTTTCTCTCACATGCTGTTTCCCTCCTTCTCTTTCTCCCTCCCTTCCCTCTCTCAAGAATCAATAAAAGAAAAAAAATTTTTAAAGAACCTACATGTTATATTAGTTAAAGGTGTGGAACTTGTGGAGGTCCTGTAAATTCTGATAGATTCCAATTAACCACAGTGAATAAATTAGAAACCAGGGTTTCTTTTGCCTTAACACATATTGTCCTAACTTAATTCATAAGTAAAGTAATAGTTTTCTTAGTTTCAGAGCCCATGTTCCTTGAGGATCCAATGGGAGAATTTGGAGTGAGACCATGGAAAGTCGAAAGGGACACTTCAAAGGCACCGATGAACGCTGTGCCGGGTGCGTGAGGCCACCTGAGCTCCTCCCGGGGTTAAAGCGCCCTCAGTGACGCCTGGCAAGTCGAGGGCGGCCAGCAACCATCCTCCACCCCGCCTCCCCTCTTTCCTCCGGGACCCAGTGGTGTGCCATGAGATGAAAATGGAGAAGAGACATTTCACGTGGTCGATGCGGACAAAGCAAGTTCCAGAAGTACCTTTCCGTGTGTGGGGATCGAGGTGAAAAAGTAGAAAAGGGGAGCCATGGAGAGGGAAGCTGTGGCGCAAAATAAAAAGATCTGAGAATCCGTCGGCTATGATACGCCTGGCAACAGCAGTGTTATGTAGCAAAACTGTGTGGACACAGGAAGTTCTTACTCGGGAAGATCCCGGGAGCTCTCACTGCAATGGAAAACTTTTTTTTTTCTGTATGAGATGATGGGTATTGACTAAACTTGTAACTGTTTCACAATATCCATAAGTCAAATCATTAGGCTGTATCCCTTCAAGTATACATACAACGCTGTATGGGAATTATATTTCAGTAACTTGGAAAAAAGTTATATAACCATACTGAACAACAGTTTATTCTTGCACAAGCCACAAAGAATAGTGGTTTATTTATTCCCCCTCCCCAAATAATTCTTTTGGCTAAAATAAAATAAACGCACACAGATGAGGAAGTAGCAGGGTTTTTGAGAAACACACACACAGTGTTCAGGGTCCAGAACCAATTAACCCCTGAGGCCACTGAGTGTATTTGGTCATTAAGTCCCAGTTTTTCCAGCTATCAAATCAAACGTTCGGACATGCTGATTGCTAACATTCTTTCCTTCTCTAAAATCCTGTAACTTAAGAATTCTCTTTTGTAAGGTATTTTCTTAAGGCTGCATTAGCTTCAAGGATGTTATTCAACAAAAGCTGAGCCTGCTGTTTCAGAAAGCACTGATGCATTCTCGTTACACAGCTCCCCCATCAGGCAACTGCTATCGATGGAATCACTGGTACTCTGCTAATTCCATGCAAGAGCATTATCAAGTAATCTAATACACTTCCCTGCGTCTTCATATTTCTGGACAATTATGAGAAGACATATTTTACCTATAATTTTGACAGTTGAGCCTTTCTCTACAACAGAACCCAGCACTGATATCACAGAGCACTGCTTACCTCGAGGCCCCAGGCTTGACCCCCAGCATGTCCCAACTGTCTTTACTGTTTCGGATTCTGCGAATGGTGTCGGCTTGTTCTTTGGTGAAACTAGCGCTGCTGTTCGTGACGGGGCGTTTCCCGCCGTTCTCACATAGATCCACGATGGACGCGTAGAAGGCCTGCGGGAGAGAAACCACGCCCCGCAGGGGAGCTGACTTGGCGGAAACGGGAATTGTTTTCACGCATCGTCCTAAAAGACCGTAACATATTCCAGTAACTCCTAGAATTCATAATAAAGCAAGTATTTAAGAGGTAAAAAAATATGATCAAACAAGTAAAGGAAAATATATTCTGAATGAGTGCATAGGGAATCCCAGCAGAGACCTGGGAACTACACAGAAGAACCAAAGGCAAATTCTGGAACTGAAAAGCACTGAATTAAAAAATTCTCTCGGTGGATTTCACAGCAGGCTGAAACCAGAGCAACAGAGACTGCAACCTGAAAAACTGAGAAAAAATGGAATAAAAATAAACATAACCTCACGGATTGCAGGACAAAATCAAGGGATATATATACATATATATAAAGAAATAAAGGTAGAAAAAAATCTTCCCAAATTTCAGGGAAAAACACCTACACACGAATCTGAGAAACTCAACAAGCTCCCCGTTTGGCTAAATGCAGAGAGAACCACCCGCAGGCACGGAGTGCGGCTGCAGAAAACCAAAGACAGAGGGAGACCCGAGCACGCGGCTGGGGCGCGGCTGGGGCGGGGCTGGGGGCGGGGCGAAGAAGTAAGAGTTAAGAGCCGCACTGGCGTCTCCTGAGCCACAACAGAGGCCAACAGAGAATGGACTGCCACCTTTACAGCGCTGATGCCGTCGCTAACAATTATGCATAACTTTCCAACACACTGCTACCACTCTCAGGTGCCCTCGTGTCCGGAACAAGGATGATACCTGACATGCATTTATAGTGAGTGTTAAAAGTGATGAAATGTGTGAGCTGCTCCAGAAGAGTACTTCATACTCTTCAAAGGGTTAAGTGTCATGATTACTGCACATAGAGAGGCACCAACCCACATAGGCCTAGGGACTCAAAAGAACAGAAATGCGGCAAACCAACATCAGCCTTATTTGGTCTTGAAATTGAAGCCTCGGAGGCCCAGTTCAGCCTGTCAGTCGAGGATGAGCCCTGTCTCCTGATAGGAGGGTGACGGCTGGTGAGAGGAGTCGGCATGGAGGATTAGGTAAAGCCTCACTCCACGGTTAAGAATAACTCTTGGTAGTATAGCTACCTTATTTGAAATGCTAAAAATTCCCAAAATATCAGATATATTCGTAAGAAAAATACATTATTCGTGCCACCACTCACTTCCAAATGGGTTTATAATTAAGAGTTAACTTGACTTTGTAAGTTAGTGTTTAAACAGCTTCCTCCCCTTAAAATTATTCAAGACTCGTAAATTTTAAGAAGTGACCATCTACTCCAGTCGCAGCGTGAACACACGCTTCTACAGCCGACTTCATTGCTGAGACCTGGCTTTCACACGTCTGGCTGGGCTCTGCGGTGGCGGGCTCCTGTCCCCTGGCTGCACCCCCGCGGGCTACAACGCCGGACCGTCTGAGCTTTGGCGCAGCGGTCCTGCCAAAGCAAAGCTTCCGTGTGGTTTGCACACAAACGCAACCAATGGTAGTTTGGGAGACATTCTTTGTCCCACTTGAGTAAGTGTATAATAGCTGTCGTCAAACTTGATCATCCTCAGAGTCGCCTAGAGAGCTTTTGCAAAATATAGATTCCTGGCTCCATTACAGCACTGAACTTCCAGTAGGTCTGGAAGCCAGCAATCTGTATTTTGAAGAATTTCCCCACGTAATTCTGGTAATCAGCCAGGTCTGGTCTGGAATAGACAGCAGACAGGTCTCTCTCTCTCTCTCTCCCCCCCTCTCTCTCTCTCACACACACACACACACACACACACACACTCATGTTCATATTCTTTCTCTTTCTGTTTCTCTCAGCAGCTGCAGAAAAGAAAGCTTATTCTGATGAGAAGTTCCTTTTCCGCTTCTCATAAGTTAAGCTTTGCACACGCACGGGAAGCCTGGACACAGGTTCTAAGACAACTCATTGCTGGGTTACCTGGAACATCTCATTAATTCCTTCTCCAGTTTGTGCCGAAGTTTCAAAGTACAGGAACCCCCTGCTCTCGGCCCAGAGACGCCCCTCGCTTTCGTCCACACAGCGGTGCTTGGCACAATCGATCTGAAACCGGAAACGGAGGGCAGGGAAGACTCCAACCCTTTCCCACCGGGGAAGGCCCAGGGAGGTCCCTGGCGACCCTCACCGCGAGAACACTGGTCCTACGTGAACCCCAGCACTAGTGCATACCAAACACACCCGGACCAGACGGGACAGAAAATTACTAATGTTGCATGTGGACTGATTTGCTGTGGCAAAATGGATGCCTGTGCCCACACTTACCACCTTCTCCCTTGAGAAAACTGCTAATCACACTCAAGGGGCTTGGTCTGCTTTTCACACCCTCCCACAGTCCACTTTTCACCACAGGACCCGCCTCCCTCCTCCACTCAGATTACAGTGCGCTCTGAGCATCCATCTCTCCCGCTCAGCCACCAATATCATCTCCCAGCTATGGCCCCGGGCACGTTGAAAGTGGGCAAGCGTACGTCAGCTTCAAGGCTCTCGCACCACGAGAGCAGCGCGTGCCATTTCAGAAAGTATGCACATACACTAACTCTAATATTCTGGGCTTTTTAAAAAAATTGTTCTTGTTTTAGGGATACGTTTTGAAAAGTTGTCGATGCCTTTATTACCAAATAAGGACTTTTTTTTCCTTTTTTATCTGTTCCCCCAAACTCGGAGCTGCACTCGGGGCACAATACATCTAGCAAGGCGGGCAAGACGGTTACCTTGTTGGCACACACGACGAACACAATGTTGTCCGTGCTCCCGTGGGGCCCCAGGTCTTGCTTCATCTCCGCCAGCCACGCATCCAGGGCGTCGAAGGAGTCCTTCTGCCCGACGTCGTACACCAGCACTGCGCCCTGCGTGTCCTTGTAAAACTCGTTGCGGACCTTCGCGTAAAAGAACAGACGCGCAGAATCTGAAACGGCCAGCTGGCGGGGGTGGTTTGTGATTTTATGAAGATGTATCTCAGTCATGACCTTAGCGAGGTACGTTCTTTTGCGTATTCATAGTATTTGCTGTTGTATCTCAGTATCTGGTCTTTCGGGGACTTTTTTAGAAAATCACAGTGACATCATAAAAAAAAAAAAGGACGTGTAATGGAAATAACAGCTTCCTGCTCCACCCTTCCTCACCTCCGATTCCACTCTCTGGAGGCGATGGATATTTAAGTGTTGTCAGTAGACCTTAAAAGAATACAAATTACACAAAGTTCTTCTCAGGAGCAATTACAAAGAACTTAAGGCAAAAATGACACAGATATCAGCAACAGGTGCGTCCACTTATGTGTCACACTCAAAGCTGGCTTCCCAGCCTGCTAGGAAGCTTCCCTCCGACTCCTGGACCCGGACACCGGCTTCTGAACTTCGAACTCCGACCTCAGTAGTACAGAGCATGACAGCCCAGGCTCGGGAGCCAGGCAGGTCTGGGTTCACACTTACTTACTAGTTGTGTGATCTCGGGCAAGCCACTTAACCTCTCTGAGCCTCAGTTTCCTCATCTGTAAGATGGGGATAATAACACCTACTCCATGGGCTAATGGTGAAGATTAAATGAGATAATGAAGGCAAAGCACCTCATGGTGCCCAGAAAACAACATACGTTAGCACCTTCTCCCTTCCTTCCCTGCATTCATTCCCCGACTGTCCTCCTTTGACGTTTTCATCGGAAATGGCAATTAGCCTCTGGGGCACATCTACAGTTCTGGGCAGAGGCGGCACGAAGCGCGGGCACACTAAGGGGGCCGAGACAAGGGCAGGTGGAGTGGGTGAGCGGCAGCACTGACAGATTTGGGGCTGTGGCAACAGAGCCCATGCATTATATAGTCTTTCAGGATATCCCAGTGTGTTCAGATTCACACCGGATACAGAGTGAGAAAATAAAGACATCTTACACACACCAGGCATGAAGCGCCTCTAGTTTTCTGAGCGTAGACAACTGGACCAAGAATGTAAGTGTCTGTTAATCTGCAGAAACAGAGGGAGCTACCCCCACCCCCCAGTTAAACCCAACAACGTCACTGAGAGCTTGAAGTGACGGAGACCAGGGCCCTTCTCCCCCAGTCCTCCTGGTCCTTCGCCCTCCTGCACTGGCACAGACGAGGCTCCCCGTCCCGAAACTCCTGCTGCCTGGGCCCCCGGGCGGCGCCTCCCCCAGGGTCTTCACGGGCCTCTGCCGCCCACGCCACTTCTCGCCACGGCTCTCACTCCGGACTGCCTCCACAGCGCCCCAGGTCCCGCCCGGGCCCCCCTCGTGTCTCTCTTCCTTCTCCCCACCTCGGCAACACCAACCGCTCTCACAGCTTCAACTGCGCGAACCTTCAAGGTGAGCCTCTTCATCTCTGCTTCCAGACCTGCACGTCCAGGTAGCTCTGGACGCTTCCAGCTGAATGTCCGGCGGGAACCTCAAATTCGGCCCGGACAGCAGGAAACCCTCCCACTCAGTCCTCCCTGGACTTGTTCTTCTCTTGAGCTTCCAGCGAGGAAAGCAGCAGACCCGTCCCTCAGTCACGTGGGCTGGCAGCCTGGGGTTGACCTTCGCTGCTCCCCTCTCCCTTCGCTCGGCAGATTCAGACAACCCCGCAGAAGCCAGCTCTGCCGCGTTTCTCATGCCTGTCACTTCCTTTCCATTTCCATTGCCAATGTCATCACCGCAAGTTTTCTAAGTAATCTCCCCAGCGACATTATACACTGTGCATATGTATCTTTTTAAAACCCTGGCTCAAAAATTCTTTTTTACATTGTATTTTACTGAATATGCTATTACAGTTGTCCTGATTTTTCCCCATTTGCCCCCCTCCACCCGGGACCCCCTATTCCCTCAGGCAATCCCCCCATCATTGTCCATGCCCGTGGGTCATGCATATAAGTTCTGTGATTACTCCATTTCCTGTACTGTGCTTCACACCCCCATGGCTATTCTGTAACTACCTTTCTGTACTTCTTAATTGCCTCACCTCTCCACCCATTCCCCCATACCCCCTCCCACCTAGCAACCATCAGAATGCTCTCCATATCCGTGATTCTATCTCTACCTCTTTGCTTTTTAGATTCAATTGTTGATAGATATGTATTTATTGACATTTTATTGTTCATAGTTTTGATCTTCTTTTTCTTAAATATGTCTTTTTATTACATTTCATATAATAATGGTTTGGTGACAATGAACTCCTTTAGTTTTTTCTTGTCTGGGAAGCTCTTTAACTGTCTTTTGATTCTAAATGATAGCTTTGCTGGGTAGAGCAATCTTGGCTGTAGGTCCCTGCTTTTCATGACTTTGAATATTTCTTGCCAATCCCTTCTAGCCTGCAGAGTTTCTTTTGAGAACTCAGCAGACAGTCATGGGTTCTCCCCTATAGGTAACTAAGTGCTTTTTTTTCTTGCTGCTTTTAAGATTCTCTCTTTATCTTTAACCTTTGACATTTTAATTATGATGTGTCTTGGAGTGGGCCTCTTTGCATCCATCATAACTGGACTCTCTGTGCTTCCTGGTCTATTTCCTTCACTAAATTAGGGAACTTTTCTTCCATTATTTTTTAAATAGATTTCCAATTTCTTGTTCTTCCTCTTTTCCTTCTGGTACCCCTATGATAAGAATGTTGGACCTCTTGAAGTTGTACCAGAGGCTGCTTATAGTATCCTCATTTTTTTTTTTGGATTCGTTTTTCTTCTTGTTGTTCTGATTGTTTTTTTGCTGCCTTATGTTCCAAATCATAGATTTGATTCTCAGCTTCATTCACTCTGTTGTTTTTTCCCTGTAAATTGTTCTTTATTTCAATCAGTGAATCCTTCATTTCTGACTGGATCTTTTTTATGCTGTTGAGGTTCTCACTAAGTTCCTTGAGCATCCTTATAACCAGTGTTTTGAACTCTGTATCTAAGATTGCTTATCTCCATTTCTTTTAGCTCTTTTTCTGAAATTTTGATGTGTTCTTTCATTTGGGCCATGTTTCTTTGGCTCTCATTTCAGCAGCGTCCCTGTGTTTGTTTATATGTATTAGGCAGAGCTGCTTTGATTCCATGTCTTGGTAGTGGGGCCTAATATAGTAGGTGACCTATAGGGTCCAGTGGCACAACCTCCCCTACCACCTAAACTGGATACTTGAGGTGTGCCCTTCATGTGAGCTGAGTACACCCTCCACTTGTAGTTGAGCCTTGGCTGCTGTTGGCAAGTCAATGGGAGGGATTTACTCAGGCCAGTCAGCTTCAAGACTGGCTGTGACCGTTGACCACCAACCCCCGCCCTCCGTGGAAGATCAGCTGTGCAGGGGCAGGGTGGAGGTGCTATGACCTGGTCTGTGGCTGTCCACTGGGTGCACTGGCCCTGGCATTTCCTAGGTAGTACAGGCCAAGGTCAGCGCCCCACCTGTGTTTTGTCTGGAGCCATTCTGCCTAAGTTATAAAGCAATGAGATGGCTGATACTTATGCTGGGCTTAGAGATTCCCAGGTGAAGTCAAGCTGTGAATCTAGGCTGGCTGCTGTTAGTACCTGGCTGGAGCTCACTAAGGCCAGCTGTTGCTTGTTTGAGAGGTATGTAGGAAGTTGTGAGGTAAGAGCCAAGACCAGCCATTCATATGAAAAAGCAGCTTGGGTGGGACAGAGTGTCCATCCAGGGTGGGGCAAAGAGGGTTAGCCACGTTGATGGAGTCTCAGATATGGCACCAGCTTGTTGGCTCTGTGGAGAAAGAGTTCAGAAAACCGACAGTGGCCTTTGCTTGCCTTCATGCCAGACACTTCAGTTTCTCCTTGTATGCCACTGGTGCTTTTCTAGGATGCTATCTTGCTGCTGGAGCTCAGAGGGAGTGAGTCTGACTAGGGGAGCCCACGTATGGGTTCTTTAAGAGGAACTGCTTGGGACTCCAGAAGTTTCTTCCACCGACTCAATCCCCACTGGTTTTTGTAGCCAGAAGTAGTGGGGACTTATCTTCCTGTCACTTGAACCCTGGGCTGGGGGGGCCTATTGTGGGGCTGGGACTCCTCACTCTTGAGGTAACCCTCCTGAATTTTAATCCACCACACGTGAGTGAGGGACCAGCCTGTTCTGCATCTGTGCCCCTCCTGCCAGTCTGGATGGATGTGGTTTCTTTAATTCCGTAGTTGTCAGAAATCCATTCAATGCGATTTCTGACGGTTCTGAGTGATGGCTGTTCCATATTTTACTTGTAATTTTGTTGTGGTTGTGGGAGGAAGCGAGCCGTGTCTGCCTACACCGCCATCTTGACCGGAAGACCCAAAAATTCTTCTGTGTTCCCTACTGCCTGCTCCTCAAAGCTTAAACTCTCTACATCGACGTTGTAAGTGTCTGATGAGTCCTCCACCAACTTCCTAGTCTTACCCTCTTCTTACCTCCTGTACTTGCACCTGGGTAATTTCTCACCCCCAAAGCTGCCCTGTGCCTTCCTAACTCCGTCTGGACGTGGACGCTGGTTCATCTTCAATCTCTTAAGGTCCAGTTTTAATACCGTATCTTTCACATCGTTTTTCTGCCCTGCTTCTCACCATCCAACTCCTTACCCTGTCGAGCAGAACGTCATCTCTGAATCCCCTGGAACACCACAGCACTTTGTGCTCCCAGTAGTGCCCGCGTCACTTTGCGTCTCGTTTCCCAGCTGCAGCGCACCCGCTGTCTCCCCAGCAGACTGTGAGCTACGCGGGGGCAGCGTCTCGATGCATCCGTCTTGGCATCTTTGCGTCACCCACGGAGCCAGGAGGCGTAACTACCTGAGACCTATTTGTCTAGTCAAATGGCTGAATGTGCTGCGGAGAACAACATAGAGGCCAAAGGGGAAAAGAACTTCAAAATGTGGATCGTGCTGTCCTGAGGGAGATTTGTGTATAAAAAGAGACTTAACCTTAAGTAAGTGATTTTATTGCCTCCGCCTTAGTTTCCTCACCTGTAAGACAAAAAGGTCAAAGAAGATGCCTCGTGGTCACCCACCACTCTATTACTCTTGTCTCCCTGCACAGCTTTCTCATCTCAGTCTCAGCAGACCGGCTACACCCAAAGTCTAATTAAATAGGATGCTACGGAAATTGGGGTTATTTAATTCTTAAAGCAAAGGTGGCAAACTTTCCAGCTGGTAGGTTAGAAAGAGCTATTTAACATCACTCAGGCTTCAGAAAGTCTCTGTGGACCCGCCAACTCGCACCGCGAAACCCTGATGGAAGCAAGATGGGCCCCGCCACTGCGCCGACAGTCCTCCCTTTGACACTTGCCCCTGAGGTTGTCGTCTCACATGCTAAGCAGGCTGTCCTTCTGCAGCAGGCCCTTTGGGCAAAGCTGTCAAGAGAACTGGTGACAGGGCAGGCTTCAGCGGAGGGCGGGCAACAAGGACTGGAGGAAGCCGGGGGTCACAGCCATGGCTGGGAGCGCTCCCCGAGGGGGGTGGGCTGAGCAAAGGCATCCCTGGGCAGCCTGGTGCTTAGAAAGAGGCAATGGCTTTGGTCTTGTCCAAAAAGAGGGTTTGAGCTACAGACAGCAAGTATTTGACAAAAAAGGAGAGATCAAGGCTGTTTTGCAGAAAAGCCTCTTCAGAAGGGATGATTTCAAGGAGCTTCTATTAAGCAGGATAAAGGAATATAAAGGGAAGAAAAATCACAGTGCTACACCTGAACTGTCGAAAGGACACCACCAGTAGACTGTGATAAGTTATATGCAGTAAAAAAGCTATACAGCAAGATTTCCTAAAAACACTACAGACAAATCAAAATGGAATTCAAAAAGGGTTCATATAACCCCCTGGGAGGCAAAAAAAAAGTGAAAACAGAAATGAAAAACAGAAAACAAAAAATAAAATGATAGAATTAAGCCCTAACATGTAACAATTACCTTAAATGTAGGTGGCGTCGATACACCAATAGATTCAAGAACACGATGCAACCATGTGCTGTCTACACGGAAGCCACTTCAAGCACAATGATACACAGGGGCCGATAGTAAAAGGACAGAAAAAGATGCATCATGTAAACATTAACCAAAGTAAAGCAGAAATGTCTATATTAGTGTTAGATAAAGCAGACAGTAGAACAAGGAAAACTGCCAGAGGCAGAGGGGGACATTATACAAAAGTGAAATCATATAACAAAGACAACGCAATCCTAAATGTGTACGTTCCAAACAACAGGGTTGCAAAACGTGTGAAGCAAAAACTGATAGAAATGGAAGGAGAAACAGACAAATCCACAATTACAGTTGGAAACGCAGGCACCCCTCTCCCAGCAATTGATAGAAAACAAATAAAGAGAAAATCAGCAAGGATAAGAAAGAACTCGACACCACCACTGAACAACAGAATCTAATAAACGTTTACAGAACACTCCATCCAAAACAGCAGAATACTCTCAAGGGGAACACACACGGAGACAGACCATACCCTGCACCGTGGGGAGGACAGAAAGCCCTTAACAAACTTAAAAGAATCAAAATGATACACTGTGTTCTCTGACCACAATGGAATCAAAGTAGAAATCAGTAACAGAAAGATAACAGAAAAGTCTCTAAACACTTGGGAACTTAAACACTTCTAAGTAATCCATAGGTCAAACAGAAAGTCTGAAGGAAAATATTCATATTTTTAAATCTTCACTTCAGGACATGTTTTTATTGATTTAGAGAGAGAGAGAGGAAAGGAAAAGAAAGAGAGAGGAAGGGAGAAAGGGAGAGAGAGCACCATCGATGTGAGAACCACCAGTGAGAACTACCGGTTAGCTGCCCCGACACGTGCCCTGACCAGGGGTCAAACCCAGATATGTGCCCCAACTGGGAATCGAACCCACAGCCCTCTGGGGTACAGGACAACACTCCAATCAACTGAGCCACCTGGCCAGGGCATGAAGGGAAATAAAAGAAAACACTGAATGAATGAAATGAAATATGAATGAAAATTAAAATACAACATATCAGAATTCTCCTCCTAGCTAAGCAGTGCTCGGGGGAGAATTTATAGCACTAAATACATTCATTAGAAAAGAAGAAAGTCTCAAATTAATAATCTAAGCTCCCACCTGAGGAACACAGAACAAGAACAAAATAAACCCGAAGCAAGCAGAAGGAAGGAAATAATAAAGATAAGAACCGAAGTGAAAGGCCACATTACAAAAGAGCGAAAAGCTTCCTTAGGGAAAACAAAAACCCCCGAGGAAGATAAAACAGAGGAGAATGGTCATGAGATTGATTCTGAGACGACGTGGGGCTGAGAAATGGGTGAAGGTACCCCGAGCGGGGCTCTCCCTGGGGGAGAGCTCACTGGGCTGAGGGGTGGCCCGGCAAGGTCCCTCTGGCACCCTGCTGCAGCAGGAGCCACGTCACTCAACTCTGAAGTCCAGGCACGAACAGAACTCTCCTCCCGCAGCTCGGCTACGGCACTGAGCACAGGGCAGCTGTCCTCTGCAGGCTCACGTGTCTGACGCCAGCGACGTTTACCTGGTTTTGTGCAGGATTTGACATGGGTTCTCTCAGAAAGCTCAGGGTCTCGCCCTGCACCACTGACAAAACTGGACACGAGTTTTCTCAGAAAGGCTTTCTTACCTCGTAGAAGAACGGGTGTCCAGCCATATCGAAGATGTTCACCTTGACTTCTCGGTCTCGGACCTGGACCCTGAAATGTTCAGATGGAAAAAAGTCCCAAAGCAGGTCATGGTTTCTGCATTCACATTAATATTACCGGTCACTTACACGTTTCACAAGTGTAGGTGTACAAAATTTAGAAGAGATTCTCAGTGCCCCTTCCCGATTCCAGGTAACCCTCACAACAGGAGCCAGCAGCGCCTTTGTTCTAACAGCCCGACCTGGACCCACGTGGAGAAAGCGCACTCACTGTCCTGCAGCTCACCTCAAGGCACTTCAGCGCGCACCCCTCACTCCCAAACGGTGGCTCTCACTACGGTGCTAAGAAACATTGACTGGGGACAAGTAGGGGCGAGATGAAGGGGAACAAAATGTTTTATCTCCCTTCGTGAGGCACCTTAATGACTACCGGCTATACCTGGTTCCCATGCAGAGCGGTAACAAAGATCATATTGTTCACATCTGTTTAATTTTCTGGAGCAAGAGTCTCGAGCAATTTTCTTGATCTTCACTTGAGCAATAAAAATAGTCAAGTTGTTTTCAGAAATTTGAAAATAGAGAAAAGAACAAGAAGGGAAATAACCACCATTCATATTAGAATTAACTACTGCTAACATCTCAGCACGTTTGCTTCTAGGCCTTTTTAAAAAAAACCAGCCCTGGAGAATGAGTGAATAAAACACTACAAATAACTCAAACACTGAAGGCAACTACAGAGGTGAAAGGTTAAAAGTGAGCCCGAATCGTATCACCCAGAAAAAAACCCTTCATTGATATCGATGGAAATCACTGCAGGTTCTTTCTGTGCATAGGTAAGACTAATAAACAAATGTTTTAATCAATATGGGACCCTACTATTTTAAAATAAAAAGCATAACATTTACTTTTTGCTGACCTTAACAAAAAGACACTGAAGTGAACTGGGAGGGTGTACTGAGCTTTAAACGTCAATGTGTGTGTCCTCACTACAGAAACAGTATTTCCTAACGGATTTCTCTAAGGCTAAAGAATAGAGGTTATTCACAATAAATGAACAAACTAGACTTTACAAAGAAATAACAGATTTCAGTTTCAGACAGCATCGCTACGCCTCCCTCCTGCGGCACTGAAGGCCATCATCGGCACCTGCCCACACTGTCCCTACGCTGTCTTCCGGTTTACGTCCTCTTCTTCTTCTTCTCTGTCCAAACGTACAACATCTGCTTTCTGTTCCGAGACCCCGATGCCCACAGTTGTTTTGCATTACTTGCATATTTACATCAAGCTAACCACCACTGGTCCTCTGACCATGGTTTCTTCACTGCTGGATTCTCTACCGTATTTTCATCAAGTGTAAGATGCGTGTTTGTGAAATCAGAATCCAGCTTTATAAGAGAGAGCGTGAGGACAGCAAGACAAAACAAAACAACAGCGGGATACGAGAGCATCTGGAGGAGGTCTGGGGTAACAATTCGTGCCAGGGAATTTTACCCTAAAGAGATCGCATGTGAGAAACGATGGAACCGAAGCATACGTGACTCAGGAAGTAACAAGCGTGGGTTCGCACGCTCACACTCAGAAGAGTCTATTTAACTTAGAGGCCAGAGAAAATTACCTTGAGGAGCGAGGTAATTCATTACCTCACGGCAGTGCTCTCCTAAGTCGTGGCCTGAGGACCCCCAGCATCACGATTATGGGGAAGGGGGTTGTCAAAGGTGCCCCACCTCAGACCCAGTGAATCAGAATCTTAGTGGGTAGGTCTCAGGAATCTGCATTTTAACAGCCTCTGCGAGCAACTCTCAAGCGCACTTAAACGTGGGCTTGGCAGTGTTGAAAACAGGACCAAAGGGAAGGGCATCTGGTGCTTTCATGGACCGACAGGGCACCCCCACCCCTTTCTCCTCCCAGCTGTGGTTCAAGCGGGCTCTGCTACGTCCCTGGCGATCCCACAGCCAGCTGAGCCGGGGAAAAGCACCTGTCCTCGCCGGACAACCGAAACCCTCCCTGGGATTTTTACACTTGGAATACTAGCTTCGGTCCCTCTCTGGGAGTAAAACTTACAGTGTGAGCCTGGGAGCCGCTGGCAGCTGCGCGGAGCCAGAACGCGGAGGCCAAGAGGCCCAGGGAAAGGGTCTGGCCCTGCTCTGTCCTGGTTCGGCCTCCTGAGGCCCAGCTGCATCTGTGTAACTGGAGTGTGTGAATGGATTCATGTTTTGTTTTGTTTTTGCTTGAGTTCGTTTGGGTTGGGTTTCTGTTAATTATATCCCCCTGACTCACGATGGGATGATCACCTTCTCCAAAAAAACTTCAGACAGCAACGGAATAATCCGCTGAATGAACTGCAGTTTTGTGGCATAATGTGGTGATTCTCATTTCTCAGATGAATAAACTAGCTACTTACATGATTCAAAACGATACTGCCTTAATTAAATAGGGGATCCTACCCCATCGCTGACGGCGTCCTGAGCCCTGAAATGTAGGTACGCCCCACACCACGTTATCTACCTTTTCGAATGTTGCTGTAATATCCTAACCTTGCCAACCTCCTACTCAGACAGATCCATCTTTCCTAACAATAAGTATTTACTGAGAATCTACTATGTACAAGCACTGGGCCAGATACCTGAAGATAATTTATACAACTGCCCCTTTGTGGAGCTCATAATCTAGCAGGAGATATTAAATATATACAAATAATAATAATAACAACATAAGGCAATTTCTGATAAGTACCATACATAGCAAGAGAAGTTAAATATTTCTGTTATTTGCAACCAAAATGAGTCGTGCATGATAAAGGCGGTATTCAGAAGGCCTTACAGGACCGGGAGCATCTGACACCTCGAGGACACAGACAGGCGACAGGCGGGGAGATGAGGGGAAAGGCCATAAGGACAGAATGAGGAATGGCACTGAGGCAGGACAGCAGGATGGCAGTCCACGCGGATGGAGAACACAGTGTGAAGGGAACAGAACAGGAGGGATGGTGAGTGCCCGAGATCCCACCTTCAGGGAAGGTGCTGTCCACCTCAGTTCTACTCTTGGGCGGTACTGTTTCCTGTAATGCAAGACTGTCTCCCCAAGCTCAACCCCTCCTGATTCACCTCCAAATAAATCCCCAGTTATACCCAATTCACTCTTCCTGGATCATTTTTTGTCAAGCCCAACTGGCTATAAAGGTCGAAAATCAATCAAGTTCTCTGATAGAACACTTCCCACAAAATACGTAGACTTTTTAAAAAGAGAGTATTTCGAAATGCTCTAAAAACATGCCTGCTAATAGGACCTCCTTCTATAGAAACAAATTCCCTGAAATGTGTCGTCTGCTGGCCAGGCTCAGTGTCAACACTGCCAACGCGGGAGATCCTGACCCTAACCCGAGACCCGGTGAGCAGAATGTGCTCAGTGACAAACTGATGGGGACCGAGAGCGGTGAACCACGTGATCTCTACTTATCTGTAAAGGTCTGATTCCTACTCTTTCCCAGTTTATCTTCAGAATCTCTATTTCAAGACAGGTCATGTTAGAAGGGTTCTGAATTTCTACGTACTTTACAAGCCCAAAGAAAGGATATACTCACTTTGTGACTCCATAGTCAATTCCAATTGTTGCAAGGTATTTAGACACAAATCTTTTCTCACAGTATCGCTTTATAATACAGCTCTAAAAAGGTGAAAATACATGCTTTTAGTAAGGATTCTCTGAGAACACATACAAAATAAACACATTTCTTCATTATAGCTTCCTCACTCATCACTATGAGAAAGCATTTTTCAAAGCCATAAGTATAAAATAACTGAAACAAAGCTAAAAGTGAAGATTTTCAGGAAAAATTATGTAAATTCTCTCCTTAATGTCAACTAGGGGTCTGCTTTTAGTTTAGTTCCCAGCCCCTGTGTTCTCCCCTTTGAAGACCCCTCCTACTGTCCTTTAGACAAAATCACCAAAATATCGAAGTCTAGCCTTGACCTCCTTCCCAAGACCCGATCCCACCTCCAAATCTCTGCTGGACCCTCAAATTCAACAAGTCCGAAAATAAACTAATGTTATATACAATACCTAAAACAGCTCATCCTGCTAACATCCCGATTCTGTTAATAATACTGCCATTTTCCCAATCACAGAGGATCGAAATATTAAAGTCATGTTTGATTGTGAGCCTCTAAAATCTTCTTTTCAATGTTCCTTCCACCTTTCTCTCCGTTCCGATCACCATCGACACCACTTTGGTTTAGGGCATCATTTACTCCTGGCCAACTGTAGGGGCTTCTTTATTGGTCTCTTTCTGCCTCCTCCCTCCCCCCCGCCCCCGCCCCACCAACTCCAGCCATGACTGCGCACCACTAGCATCATGTCAACTCGGAAATCTTCAGTGACTTCCCACTGCCAGGAGCTCAGAGTCCTTGTTATTCAAGGTCTTCCATAATCTGGCCCTAATCTGTCTTCTCTGCCTGAACTCTTCTACATAAAATCTCCATTTCTGCAAAGTTCCCCGGGCCTGACTTTCGGAATAAGCTTTCTCTTGTCTTTCCAAATCCTACTTATCCTCTAAGGCCCAGTTCAGACTCTGCACACTCAGGTGATGGGAGACCTTGCCTGCATCTGAACTCCTCTAGCACTTTACACATACGCTATTACACACCCGCACACTACGTGTGTGCCGTCAGTCACACATGGCCTTGTACTGTTAATTACCTTTTCCCACGTGTGTATCTGCCTGATCTCTTCAGCTAGACAGTACACCATGTGAGGGCAACACCAGTATTTTTCTTCTTTATGTCCTTTGCAGAATTATCTCAGTGCCAATGAAAAACCAATTTAAAATGGCATATATTAATAATAATCCTTTGCACTCCTGAAACTTCTAATTTCCTTGAAGTGCTGGTAATGGAGTTTATTGTGCTTCAATCCTTTCCTGATGAACCTCAGTCTGAATTAAATAGGACAGTTACTATAAAAAGGACTTAGTAAGCTCATTGTGAACTGAAGGAAAAGCTTGTTTGACGTGACTACTGCTATGAGACTATACTTTAAAGTCACATTATAGCTTGAAGGTACTTCACAAAGGTTTTCTCACAACATACTAAAAAATGGACGGAATGAGTCTTTCTGGAGAAAGACTCTATTCATGAGATTAAGGGGCCTGGAAGTCCTTTAACTCTAGTACACTATTTACACACTAGTCCAAAGTGTGTAAAGAATACACATTTAAATAATAGTGTTAACAGCTGCTCCCTGTAACACAAGGTGCCGGGGTTCCTGGTCCTCAGGCTCTTAGGAGCCAAGTTAAATGACATAAAATAGGATTTTTTTTTGCTTTCACTATTTTTCTTAAGTAAATTTTAAGGCACTTTTCTTTTTTAATGCAATCCCAATTAAAACCTTAACAGGTTTGAGTCTTTAAAAAAAAAGAAAGAATTATCCTAAAATTTATATGAAGCAACAACTGAGAAGAACTAATCCAAGTATGAAAAACAAAGAGGAATCTGCCTTGACAGATATTAAAACATAGACTGTATTAAGACAGTATTGTATTGGCATAGGAGCAGACAAATAAGTCGGCAGAGCAAAACAGACAGCCCAGAAACAGATCCCACCACGTAAGGAAATGTAAAAAGTGACGAAGGGCACATTTAAAATCAATGGGGAAGAATGATGCATTTGGTAAAATGCTACTGGCACAACTGATCGTCCATCTGGAAAAAAATTAAGTCGGGCCGTTAACTTCCCTATTATACAAAGATAAATACAGATGAATTTACGATTCAAGTATCTGGAAATAAAACAATACAAATCTCAGATGCAAATGTGCAGCATGCGTGTAGCCTGAGCAAAAAACCTTTTCAGTCAAGAAAGGAAGCCCAGAAACCACAAAAGAAAAGACAGACATAATAGAGTACATACAAATAATAAATAATAAAAACTTTTGCCTGGCAAAATATCTATAAGAATATTAAAAGATAAATAGCATGCTTGGGCAAATATTTGGAACTACTGGGACTGGCAAAAAGTTCATGTCACCAAACGAGAAAAACTGAGCACAGGGAGTAAACACTGGGCCATACACAGACGGGCAAACCCCAGTCTCCGGTAAGCATATGAAAAGATGCTCCACTTCCCCTGTAGGCAGTGAAACGCAAATTTAAGTAACAATAAAAGTACTTCTCACTAATGAAAAGAATGACAACATCTGTTCAGGCAGGGCTGGGGGTGGGGTGCCTGCATACGAGTGGTAGAAAGACACTGTTTTGAAGAGCAATTGGCATAACTACTAAAAAAAATTATGTTTACACTGTATTGTGGTCTGTTAAGTGTGGCCAATAGCATTATGTCCATAAAAAATAATACATCTTTTAATTAAAAAATACTCTATTGCTAAAAAATGCTAAATATCACCTGAGCCTTCAGCGAGTCATCAGCTTTTTGCAGGTGGCCTGGCCTCCAATGTGTAAAAAACAACACCATCTGTGAAGCCCAATAAATCTAGGTATGCCTATATGTATATACACAGAGACACACATTGGTATTTACTGCAAAACTGTGGTAGGGAAAAAGGTGGAAGTGAAGTGAATTCTCATCAATAGAGGGACTACTTGCATATCATGGACTATTACGCAACCCTGAGGAAGAGCGAGTTATTTGTCAGATAACCTGGAGGTATTGCCATAGTCTACTGTTAAGAGAGAAAAGCAAACTCCAGAGAAGTATACAGTACAATACTGTAAGGAATACTACAATATGTAGGGAGAAGTATATACTACAATACAGTATGGTGGGGATACTTCTGGCCACAAGTAAGAGACACCCAATTCAACAGGAAGGTATCTATTTACTGCAAATGGAAATCTAGAATTAGGGCAAGCTTCAGAGTTGGTTGATACAAAGATTCAGCGGTGAGTATATCAGACACATTCAGATCCTAGAGGACCCTGAGAACTGGGCTGGGACTCTGGGAGCAGGTTGACTGCCATTGCTGAAAGTTGAACTGGACATAAACAAAATGCACAGAGAAACTCCAGGATTCTCCCATAGAGGGTAGTAAGCCCTTTGGAATCTCCTTTTTCTTACTGCATCTCTAGAACCTCCAAAAAGCAATGCTCAAAAACAGAGAAAAATAGCAAGTAACCTTTTCTTGTACCTATACTTCATGCAAATGGCCTCAGCATTTTACCATTTGGTAAGTTTGCTGTCAGCTGATAACAAATATTGTTTTATCATGGAGTGTTTATTAGAACTGACTACTTGATTATATCAAGTGTTTTTATAGTACATAGCATAAATATTTCCTCCAGTAATCAGTTGATATAATAAATTATGTCGATTGACATCTTGATATTGAACCATGTTTGCATTCCTATGACAAACCCTACTTTCTAATAGTGAATTACGTTTGCTATATTGCTGAATTCTCTTTGTTGATATTTAGAAATTATACATCTCTATGTATATGTGAAATTGGCATATACTTTTTCATTGATACTATATCAAGTTTTGCTGTTTAGGTTACCACGATTTCAAACAGTAAACTGAAGTCCTGTTCATATTTTTCTTTGCTTTGGAATGACTTAAGAAACTGCAATTATATGTTATTGAAAGCTTAAATAATGCTTATTCATGAAGCCACCTGGTCCTGATACCTTTTTAAATGATAAATCTCTCAATTTCTTTTGTAATTTCTCCTGGGGTAACTGGTCAATTGGACTTTTTGAGTCAATTTTGGTCATTTACATTTTGCGAGGAAATCCTCCACTTCCTCTACATCTGCAAATGCGCCCCCACAGAACCGCAGGCATTTTCTCTGATCACCCTTTTCATCTCTCCAGAACGTGACTGTCTCTTGTTTGGTAAAATTCTTGTAATTCTCTGTTTTCTCTATTTTTTCTTAAGCAGATTTTTAGGCCCTTTTCTTTTTCATTCATCTTTCCAGAGAATCCCCTCTCTCTTTTAGTTTATTATGTGTCCTTTTTCTAATGCAGTAAGTTCTTTTAGTGTTTTTTTTTAAATTGAGATATACCATACCATAAAATTCACACTTTTAAAGTATATACTCCTATAGTTTTTGGTACATTCACAAAGTTGTGCAACCACTTAATTCCTTTAGTTTTTATCTCTCTTCTTTAGAGATGAATAAAATAATGCAATTCCCTTTGCAGCTTTAATTTTGTCCTGAAGATTTTGGTATAGATTCTATCCTTTCAATTGCTTTCTAGTTATTTTGTCATTTGCCTTTTGATCCAAGGATTATTTACAAGAGCATTCCTTAATTTTTAACTTAAAATTGTTTACCTGTTTGTCTTTCTATATTTTCCAAATTCTTTAAAGTGAGTTTGTGCTACTATTATAACTAAAGAACAAAATTTTTAAGTTACATTTAAATCTTTTATTCACCTAAAATTTATTTTTGAGAAAGAAATGCAATAGGAATCTACTTTTAAACAGTAGGTACTCGTTCCAATAGTACTCATTAAATGGTCCCTGTGTTCCCATGATTTAATTACAGTTGTTGTAAACTGAATTTCCTTATATGTGTGGGTTTACTTCTGGACTCCACTGTATTCCACTGATGTCTCCATATTTCCTTTCCAGTATCAATAGGAAAATCTTGGTAATTTAAAAATGTGTTTTAATATCTGGTAGTATTGCTCTCCTCTCATTTCTTTCTTCACAATTTTCTTGGTTATTCTCAGTTTTCATTTTTCATAAGGACTTTAGTACCTTTTATTATGTTGTGAAGAAAAAACCCTGTTGGTAATGTAACTGGAATTGAATTACATTTGTGTATTATTTTCAAGAAATGACATCTCAACAATACTGAGTGACCCCAATTAAGGAGAAATATCTTCCCATTTGCCTAAGTAATTTACGTCCCTTGTAGAATCTGAAATTTTTCTTCATATAGGTTCTACCTATTTCTCCTCAATTTTAAACCTACGAACTTTATTTGGGTTTTCCCTGCAAATTAAAATACTCTTTTCAATGAGATATTCCGAACATTTATAATCTTGTATAGTAAAGCTGTTAATTTTTGTATATTTTTCCTTACTGAATTTTCTCATTGTTTCTAATAGTTTTTCAGTTAATTCTCTTTGGGCTTCTAGATAAACAATTATATCATTAGCCAACAATGAAAATATTGCCTTCTTCTTTCCACTACTTCATATTTTACTTTTCTCTTATCTAACTGGACTGGCTAATAAATCTAGAACAACGTTAAATGAATGTAGTGACATGGCATTTGGAGCTATTTCTAATGTTGCACCATTAAGCAAAGTAAAATTACAAAAGTGATGCATGCTCTCTTTGCCAGTATAGTACATAACCTTCTAGAAGCATTTTATTCTTTTCTTTGCAATGCCTGGCACACAGCTGATGTTCAGTAAATGTTGCCTTTCAGTGAACGCTGTTAGTACTTACATATATACACACAGGTACACAAATGGTAAAATGCTGCTAAACAGAAAGAAAAGACACTCATGAACACTGAATGAGCATTAACCATGTGCAAGGCACAAGGCACCCTCATTCACAGCTCTTTCAGCACAGAGATCCTATTCCCAGCTGACTTTGACAGCATGCACACAGTGGAAAGAGCTCTGCAGCGGGAGTGTGAAGACCGAGGTTCTAATCCTGTCACTGTCACTAATTTGATGACCTTGAGAGGTTCTTAACCAACAGCTTCCAAGTACCCAGGAGAGATAATGTCTTAGAAATCACTCAGGTACAGACCTCGGTCACCTCTCACTCCCCAACCCCCCTGATACCCCATGCAATGGGAGAGCTTACAGCGGATACCCAGTAGACTGTGAAAAGAAAAAGGCGGTGCAGCTAAGGCATCTGTGAGGGAACAGACGTGGTGACACTACCAAAAACAAAAACAAAACAAACACGCCCAACAAAATAACCCAGACTCCTTGACATCCATTGTACCTCTCTGTGAAACACCTCAGCATCAGTCATGCTATTTACGACTGAAATGCTGGATTCTGGGCTCCAGGTCTGCAGAGAAACATTTTACAAACCCCCAATCCCCACAGGAGAAGTTCCCTTTGGCTCCCAGGCAGTGCCTGGGGCAACTAAAGTTTTATTCTCTATCTCTAAGTCCTGGATGAGTCACCTAGAACGCAGAAACGGTATCTAAGCAGACGGTCTGACGTTAGGATCTAGGCCTCCGTGGGTTAAGGGCCACGGGAGACACCTTCTTAGGAAAAGTGACGTCAATAGGAGAGGTGACAACGCAGAGGTCAATAAGGTCAGGAGAGTTTTCCCTGAGGAGCCTCATCTCCCAGGGGGAGACCAGGGCCTTCTCAGGGGCGGGGAGGAGGCTGGGCCCCAGGCTGTTGAGTGACCGCCCTCCCAGCCAATCGGCAGGTCGCTCTGCCGCAGTGAGGTCCCGCCCCTACAAGCAAGGTACTCACTTTTCCCACTTCGGCGTTGCCCATGGAGATGACTTTGATGCGCAGGGACTTGCCAGGCTCCTTCCGCTTCGGCGTGTTGGCCTCCATTGCCCTCGCTCTCTCGGGGCCACACGCCTCGCTTCTCCTTGTTCAACACGCTGGCCTGTCCCTCAAGCCTCCTCATCCAATGACGGAACCGCTGCTACCGTCACCGCCTGCACTCCGCGGCTCGCCATCCCTGCCGCTGCGCGGTGGCAGCAGCGTGGGCAGTTGGGAACGCTGAACTGGGGGGGGCGGGGAAGGGGGGGGGGGGAGAAAGAGTCTCGCGATGATAGAAGGGGGAGGTGTGACGTCATCGCCAGGCCCTGGAGTTGAGCTTGTGGTTACCTGAACTTGGGACGGGAGACCGAGCGAGGGTCCCTGGGCAGGTGGACGGCCTGCAGGGGCGGCTGGCCTGCGGGAGTTTTCTTTCGTGAAGTGTGCGGGGGCGCCAGGACATGGGCATTCGTTATGTTCCTTGCCAAGCGGTAGGAATTTGTTGGCTATTTAGGGTGGATCCTCCTGCTGGGATCCCCTGAATTAGGGATTCGTTAGCTCAAGGATCAACAAGCTAAAAATCTGAAGTAGACCATGGTCCGTTTGGGGTGTTTTCTAGATTCTTCCCTCCACACTGGTCCACTCACCCCTCACCTTCCAATATTGTGTTTCCCCTGCTCTCACTCCCCAAGAGGTAGAGTCAGGAGCCAGGGAAATGGGGAAGTTGGGACCCTGGTCCTAGTTCCGGGACCCTAGAAGAGGGGTTGGTCAAAAATAGCTGTCGGCCCCCAATCCAATGCCAATGTTGCAGGTGGGCGCAGGTAACCAGGTTCCTGGTGGTTGTGACAATTGAACCAAACACACAGTTTATAGCAGAGAGAGAGAGAGCAGATTTATTAAGCGATAGTACACCCCACAGAACATGGGAACAGGCCAACTCTGAGCAGAGGAGACTGACCTCTGGGGCTGAAGACATTCTGTTCTTATAAGTCTGGTGTTCCCTGGCTTGTTTGGTGGCATTTTATTGTGTGTGTAGAAGTAGTTATACTACTTTAAAGCTACTGCATGTGGTCTCCCATGATTTTCCTTAATTGGCAACTGGGGAAGGGGCAGGGCTGTCCCACAATGTGAATTTATTATAATGCTATTACAATGAAGCAGGGGTCATGCAGCATCTTCTGTGCAGGTGCATTCATGACTCACCATGATTCGGTGCTTTTCCAGAGAGCGGGAACAACTGGCCTTAGAACAGGGTCTCTGTCCTGTATCCATGTCCTTTATCATAGCCCTTGAGCAACTCCAGAGTTTCCCCCCTCCCTCCTATTTCCAGCCTCGCCAATAGGAGTCCTCAGTCTGGGCTACAAAGTAGTCGTTACTCAGGTGAACTGTTCAGAGACTGGGGAAACACAACCACCCAAGAAAACCAAAGGTGCACTCCTTCCAGACAGTGGAGAAGGGAAGGCCCTCTTTATAGGGAAAGTGGCTGCCCTGGTTCCTGATTGGTCCATTTTTATACAAATAAGTGATCCAAATGTTCAGTTTAATGGGTCCAAATAGCACTGCCCTGATGGGTCAGAATCATGCATTCTGATTGGTCAGTAAAGATGCAAATGAGTATATAGCTGTTCTGCACCGATTGAATGAGCAGATCTTAGCCCATTGGTCAAAATACAATTCCAATAACTCCTCTATAAGGTGCCATTTGGGCAGGGAAACAGTGCAGGAGGCTTGGCAGCTCCATCTGTGGCTTCCCTGATATGCTGACTGTGTGTGTGTGTGAGAGAGAGAGGCCACCGTAAATGGTGACTGCTAGACTCGAGATTATTAATTTGGACCCAGTTAACCCCAAGGAGTCCTTTTGGCAGGTACATCCCTTCTCAGGTTCAACAGGCCTTAGGCAAGATCTCAATCCCATTCCTATCATTAAAAAAAATAGGTTATCCATTTAGAGTCAAGACAGGTTCAAGCTCAGTCCTTACTTTTTTATCATGTAGTTCTAAACTGTAGGAGGAGGGCTCAGACTAGACTTTTCTTGCCCTCTCACAGTGTGTCAAGGTGTGTGTGCATGTGTGTGTGATTGTAGTTGTAAGTGCCTTCGTTTCCCTCCTCTCCCTGACAAACTTTGCCCGTCTTCTGTCCTCACGTCTCCTTCCGTTGACAATAAGGCAGTCAAATAATGATGAATTCTAACATAACCACTTTTATATTCTCTTATTCCAAGAGATAAGAAAAGCATCTGCTTAATAAAAATCAGTCTGAGAGGAACTGTAATTGTTTTGAATCAATATCTTCAGTAACAGAAGATAAATAGAACTTGACAAATGATTATTTAGTGCCCTGAGAAAGAATGGCTGCCAATTTCCCAGTAACTTACAAGGGAAAAGGTAGTGTTGCTTGTATCCCCACATAGCTTTAAACATCTTAAATGCATTGCAGGAAGACAGTAAGTAAAGGCTCACAATTTCACTATAGTTATTTTACGTTAGGTTTTCAAGTATTTCTATTTAAAATTTAATTTTAAAACATTATATGCCTTTAAAGAAAAAACGCCTATTTTGGATTGTTTTCATAATCAACAAGTCATATAACACTTCAATGAAGCTTCTAAAATTCTTTACAAATATGAAATATAAGTCATGGTTAGAGGTTTGACAGCTTTAAGCTTAAAAGAATCGGATTTAAACTGATTCTCCAGATGCTGATCTCTCCATATGATTTAATAAAATCGAGAAACATGTGTTTCTTTGAAGGTTCACCTTTGACCCTGTAATAGAACTGGTATTGTGGTAGGATAACAGCAAAATGCCAAGTCTTTCACTATAAGATTGATTAGGTGCGATACTCTTGAGCATCAGGGCAATAAAACATACCAAAGTTTAAAGTTTATTTCCATATTTTCATATTGACGTTTTCGAGGCTTGAACGTGAATAGTCATATTTTTCTACTGGGTGTGTTAAATTAGTTTGGAATGGAAAAAGCAAGAAAGCAGTTTTCTTCTCCGGTCTTGGGTATAGAAAGAGGAAAGAGAAGCATGGATTCGCTGTGTGGAGCGGGGCGCGGGGAGATGTGGGGGGGTCGGGAGTGTGCGTGCCGCGGTCGGCTGGGCGGTGCCCCGCGCTGGTGCGGCGCGGGCCCGCGGTGCTGGGAAGGACTGCATGCAGGAGGCGCTGCCCGCGAAGCACGTGCCAACGCCCAGTAGCAGCAGCCCTATGCGTTCACTTACTCCTGTTTTTCGTACTGCTGTATGGAGAAAGATTCTACGTATTTTAAACCTGTACTTTAACAGTAAATTAGGAAACATATTGGGCATACCTAAAGGCAAAAAGAATAACGTAATGAATACCACATTGCAGAAGAAACAAAACGTCACAGGTACTGGGTGTGCTCCTCCCCAGTTCGCGCCCGCTCCCTCTCTAGAACGGGCTGTAACGATCTGAACCGGCGCTTTTCCTTTCCAGGCACTTAGAATTTGTTTTCCTACATGTGTGTAATCACCTTCAAATGTGGTCTTGTGTTGTGTTTTTAAGAAACACTTATTTTAAAATAACTCCACTCAGGAAAGTTTTTAAAATAGTAGGAAAAAACTACTGTATACCATTTATCCAGTTTCATCGGTTAACCTTTTGCGTTATTTACCGTATCAGTTGTTCTATGTATCTATTCATCTATCTACCTACAGGTCTTTTCTGAACCACTGGAGAGTGATTAGTAGATGCGTTTCCTATAAATACTTCAAGGTCTATTTCCCAAGACAAGGGCTCTCGCTCACATAGCAACAGTGTATTCACCAAAACCAGACAAGGGGTAAACACAGGGGTAAAACAGCTCTATCATCCGATCCTGCGGTTCTCACACGGTGTGCTTAGGTGCCCCACGGCCTCACAGTGAATTCAGTTCCCCGGGGGCTATCTGGGATACCTTACAGTCTAAATCAATTCTCAAGGCAAACAAACAAAAATCTCAGATTATACAAACCTACTTGTTTGAGGTTGTTTACAATTTCTGCAGTAGATGGCGCCATACTCCTTATATATGTCATATATTTGAGAAGCTGGGGTTTTGGGGGACTAATAAAAACCAACTACAGTGCGAAAATCAGCGTGGAACAGGAAGTTAGGGTGGTCTTGCCCAACCCGATTCCAAGGTTCAAGCAGTTATGTGGTGCCCAACAGGTACACAAATCGCATTAGTAGATAGTTGTGGTTAAGAATGAAATAAAAAGTGTTTTCATTCAATTTACTGTTTTACTTGTATTTTTTTTCAAATAGTAATTACATTGTTAGGGCGTAAATACTTAACAAGTTGTTGGGATCTAGATATTTCTTTTGGCTGAGAAAGACTGGGAAAAACATCACTGAGACACGGGAGGTGCCTTGAACCAAGAATATTGGGGAAACTTCGATCTGACCCACAGATCATATTCAAATTTCACCACTTGTCCCTAAATATCCTGTCTAACTGTGTCTCCCATCCTCTCGTCCCTCACCCCCTGGCCTGGAGTCTAATTCAGCATCATCTAGTTGTCGTGTATCCTCAGTCTTTTACCTGGTGTGGTTCCTCGGCTTTTCTTTGCCTTCGAAAAGGACAGGTAGTTTTTTACACCTGAATATGAATATACTCCTCATTTTGCGTTTGGTATTTCTTATGATTAAATTCAGTTATGTTTGGCTGGAATATCACGGAAAAGACAATGTCCTTTCAAGGGCATCAGTATCTGAAGGTTGGTGATTCAACTCATTGCATTAATTAATGATGTTAACTTTAGTTGGTTAAGCTGTAAGGCAGAGTTCATTAGAGTGGGTTTTTTCCTTTGTGATAAGTGCTTTGTAAGGGGGCATTTTGAGGTTATATAGATATCCTTCATTGAACTGTCACCCACAAACATCACCACACGTCTAATGATGATTCACAGCTGAAGATATTCTTACCATGACAGATGCAAAATCATGATTTTCTAACTCTGTCATTCCTCCTACATTTATTACTTGGCATTTTACCTTAAGGGAGAGTGTTCCTTGCTCAGTCAATAATTTATTAATTTATATCGGTATGGACTCCTATGTGCTTATTTTACTTCATGAGTATTGCTTTATTACTATTATTCATTTTAATGCTCAAGCTGACTCTCATGTCTTTTTAATATGTCTCTACCATTTTTTGAGCACTTTCTTGCTTTCTGGCACAACTACGTGCCCTGGTTCCCTAAGTTGTTTTGTAGCGGAGAATGGTATT